GAAGGGGCTGTGCAGCCCTGGCACAGCTGCCCAGGGCAGGGAGGGGGAGTCCCATCCCTGCAGGGATTTAAAATCCCCGTGGATGTGGCACTTGGGGACAGGGCCAGCGGTGGCCTGGGCAGTGCTGGGGGAACAGCTGGGCTGGGTGGACTCTGAGGGGTTTTTCCAACCCAAATTATTGCTGGTGCCCATGGGAGCTCTCTGCTTGTGTAGGGAAGGTCCCTGTGGGTGTGTAAAGACCCTCTGGCCCATCCAGGTGTGGTCAGAGCCGGCTTTGGAGCTCTCTGGGCTCCAGGGGAGCGGCCGGGCTGTCCCTGCCCCAGGAGTGGAGGTTCTCAGGAATTCGCTGCTCACCCCCCAAGTGTCGTTCATTTGGTCAGAGCTGGGGCTGTGCTTCGGGCTGGAGACTTCAAAACCCACCCCCTCCCTCCCCATCATCTCCCAGCAGGGACACTGCCCTGCCCCTGTCCCTTGGGGCGTGTCCCTGGCAAACCCCCCCTGGCTTCCCCCGGGTCTGGACTCGGGGGGTTCAGGTACTGCAGTGGGTGTGAATTCCGGTCTGTTCAATGCTATTACTGAAATATTTATTGTGTTTAAACCAACCAACCAACCAAACAAACAAAAAAACTATTAAAGATCAGTAAAGAATAAATTTTTCCATGCCTTTTACTGGTGTTTGTCTTTCCTTCCTGCTGGACATGGTGAGGATGAAGGTGGAGCAGGGGATGGGGCTGGAGGGCAGCGGGCACAAATGGATTCCTACAATGACGGGGTGGTTTAGGGGGGGAGGGTCCTTAAAGACCATCTCATTCCATGGGCAGGGACACCTTCCACTAGCCCAGGTTACTCCAGCCTGGCCTGGGACACTGCCAGGGATCCAGGGGCAGCCACAGCTTCTCTGCCCAACCTGTGCCAGGGCCTGCCCACCCTCCCAGCCAGCAATTCCTTCCCAATATCCCACCTAACCCTGCCCTCTGGCAGTGGAAGCCATTCCCTGTGTCCTGTCCCTCCATCCCTTGCCCCCAGTCCCTCTGCAGCTCTCCTGGAGCCCCTGCAGGCTCTGGAAGGATCTTTCAGCTCTCCCCAGAGCCTTCCCTTCTCCAGCTCTCCCAGCCTTGGGGCAGAACCCGAGAGCCCCGCGCTGTCTCCCCCCCACCTCAGGATAAAGCCAAGGTGTATTTAAGCCCTGCCTCGTCCCCTTCTCAGCCGCTCCACGGCTTCCCCTTAAGCGGATTGCTGCGGGAGGTGTAAATGGAATTAAGGGATTGCCGCGGACACCAGGTTTGGGAGCGCACCGGGCTGCTCGCACCTTCCCGAAACTCCTCCCGCTCTCCCTAAACTATGCGGGGTCCAAAAAGGAGGGGAAGGAGCAGCCTGCTGGGCCTGCTCCCACCTTCCCAGGGCTGCTCCCCCTCCCTCCTTCTGGACCTCGCGCAGTTGCAAGACGAAAAGTACGAATCTAATTAGGAAAGAAAACCATCCAACAAGGAACTCGGCCCCCTCTGCCGGGCGACAGGAGGATTTGCTGGTGCTGTCCAGGACAGCGAATCCCGGGTGCCAGAGGATCCCCCAGAAGGGACAGGCTGGCCAGGACATGGGAAAGTGCAGAGAACCATCTCCCTGTGCTGGACAAGGAGCTGGGAGCTGCTGGAAGCAGCTCCCAGCTCCTTGTCCAGCACAGGGAGATGGGAGGGAACCAGGTGAGGGACCCTGCACTGCCCCATAGCCCAGCCCAGGCTGGAGAACTCCCCCTCTCGCTGATTCAGCAGCTGCACTGGGACCTTCTCAGCTTCTGGGATCCCTCTGGGATGAATGAACCTTCTCAGGTTCCTGTGGGGCCACACAGATTCTAAACCCCACCCAGCCCCTCTCCCCAGGCCCAGGCTGTTCCCATCCCCAGGGAGCAGCGCTGTTGCACACGATTCCAATAAGGAATGAAGAGGAACCCCTCGGGTTATTGCATCAGTCCCTTCTCTCAGCTGAGCCTCCCGGTCGGGGCTGGGCAGCAGCTGGTGGGTGGAAGAAACTGCTTCTGTCATAAAAAGGACTCAGGGGTGGATCAGATGGCCTTTAAGACCCTTCCAACCCAAAGCAGGGTGTGATTCTGTGATTCTGAAGGGCAAACACCTGGTGGCAGCTCACAGCCCCAGCACACCCCCACAAACAGCACAGGAACAGTCCTGTGAGGGGAGGGGAGGAAAAGAGCCGCTCTGTACGTTCAGTCCTGATTTATTGTGGTTGTTACATCGGTGACATTCATTGGTCAGGTGCAGTCTGCTCATTCCCACGGCGTTTGGACACCGCGCAGCAAAAACCGCCCCCTCAGAGCCCACCCAGCTCAGCCCCCGGCGCTGACCCCAAACAGCTGCTCCTGCCCACAGCACTCACCCCCCCCTCAGCCCACCCACCCACCCCCAGAGCTTCACATTCTCCTGATCTCCAAACTCAGCTCTCCGCACAGAGCTTTGGAATCATTTTTTGTTCCCCACTGGGAGAAATCCTGCAGAGTTCCCAGAGGGAGCAGGCAGGTTAGGAGGA